CATGAGAATTGCCTGGACCTGGGAGGCAGAGGCTGCAGTGAGCCTAGATCGTGCCACTGCACTCCTCCAGTCTGGATGGCAGAGTGGGACTCTGTCTCCAAAAAAAAAAAAAAAAAGAAAGGGCCAGGCAGAGTAGCTCATGCATGTAATTCCAGCACTTTGAGAGGCTAAAGCAGGTGGTTGCTTGAGGCCAGGAGTTTGAGACCAGCCTGAGCAACATGGCAAAACTTCGTCTCTACAAACAATTCAAAAATTAGCTGGGCGCGATGGCATGTGCTGTAGTCCCAGCTACTTGGGAAGCTGAGATGGGAGGATTGCATGAGCCTAGGGAAGCTGAGTATGCAGTGAGCTGAGATCATGCCAGTGTACTCCAGCCTGGCTGACAAAGAGACCCTGTCTCAAATTTAAAAAAAGAAAAAAGAATGATACATGCAGAATTTTTATAACAAGTAACTCCTGACTTTGGTTAAAATAAATTTTGAGACCGGGCATGGTGGCTCATGCCTGTAATCCCAGCACTTTGGGAAGCCAAGGTGGACGGATCACAAGGTCAGAAGTTTGAGACCAGCCTGGCCAATATGGTGAAACCCCTTCTCTACTAAAAATACAAAAACAAAAACAAAAATAGCCGAGTGTGGTGGCACATGCCTGTTATCCCAGCTACTCGGGAGGCTGAGGGAGGAGAACTGCTTGAACCTGGGAGGCAAAAGCTGTAGTGAGCCAAGATCACTCCATTGCACTCCAGCCTGGGCAACAGAGTGAGATTCCATCTCAAAAAAATAAATACAAAAATAAATTTTGATATAGCCATATGATTCAATGCAAAGCCTTTTCTTAAAAAGTATCTTCATGAGAATGTTTAATGGCAGGGAAGATATTTATCCCATATCATTATACAAACAAAGCAGGTTACATAATAATTTGTTTAATAGGATTTTATTTTTAAAAGGTAAATATGGGCCTGGCGCGGTGGCTCAAGCCTGTAATCCCAGCACTTTGGGAGGCCGAGACGGGCGGATCACGAGGTAAGGAGATCGAGACCATCCTGGCTAACACGGTGAAAACCCGTCTCTACTAAAAAATACAAAAAACGGCCGGGCGCGGTGGCTCACGCCTGTAATCCCAGCACTTTGGGAGGCCGAGGCAGGCGGATCACAAGGTCAGGAGATCGAGACCACGGTGAAACCCCGTCTCTACTAAAAATTACAAAAAATTAGCCAGGCGCGGTTGTGGGCGCCTGTAGTCCCAGCTACTCGGGAGGCTGAGGCAGGAGAATGGCGTGAACCCGGGAGGCGGAGCTTGCAGTGAGCCGAGATCGCGCCACTGCACTCCAGCCTGGGCTGGGCGACAGAGCGAGACTCCGTCTCAAAAAAAAAAAAAAAAAAAAAAATACAAAAAACTAGCCGGGCGAGGTGGCGGGAGCCTGTAGTCCGAGCTACTCGGGAGGCTGAGGCAGGAGAATGGTGTAAACCTGGGAGGCGGAGCTTGCAGTGAGCTTGATATCTGGCCACTGCACTCCAGCCTGGGCAACAGAGCAAGACTCCGCCTCAAAAAAAAAAAAAAAAAAAGGTAAATATGTAGATAAATAGATAGAGGTAGTTATCTAGAAGCACAGGTAGTGTATTATTAAATATAGCTATTTCATCGGTGATGAGATTACTGCTGATTTTTACGGTCATGTGTTTGCTTCAGTGAATTTTCATTTATAGATCTGTGTTCTTTTCGAATAGCAAAAATAAGTTTTCTTAACAAATAAGAGATATACTATACATATGTGTTTAGTATGTGTATGAATTTTCAGCCAAGCAGCATTGTATTTATACAGTGGTTCTCAAATGACAGCTCACAGACCCTGGCCATCCCCAAGGCAACTTGCAGGAAGTCTATGAAATCCAAACTACTCTCAAAATAGTTTTTTCCTACCCCCGTAGATATCATTATTACTTAAAAAACTACAAATTATCGTGATTAGGACTTGAGTAAGTGATAGATACATTCTTGAAAATGAACAAAGTGAGACTGCCACTTCAAGGAAAACAATTGGCAGCATTTGTTGCTAATGATTAAATACATGCTTTCAAGTGAAAACCAGAATTGTATCAGCCACCATGAACTTAACAGCTTGCTATGCTTTGAAGATTTTTCTGATGATATGAGGGGCAATGGATGTGATTGTTTTATATTATATTAAAGATGAACTGTTATTTGGAAAAGCTACATAATTCAGCGAACAAGTCTTTTCCAAATGGCCCATGCAAACTGAAGAATCACGTGTGGGTTAAAGATTTATTCAATGTGCAAGGCAGACCAATGAATTTTAATGTAACGGGTCACAAAATTCATTAATATGGTTTCAGATTCCACCTTGTAACTAACCTTTAAGAAACTACTACTTAATGGTATGGCAATTACTCAAAAAATTAAAAATAGAATTACCACACAATCTTAGTAATTCTGCTTCTGGGTATATAACCAAAAGAAGTAAAAGCAGGGACTCAATCAGGCATTTGTGCAACTATCTTCATAGCAGCAATATTCACAATAACCAAAAAGTGGATGTAATCCGAGTGTCCTTGAAGGAATAGATGAACGAACGAACGAATGAACGAATGAATGAATGAATGAATGAATGAATGAATGAATGAAATGTGGTATACATATGTAATTGGGATATTATTCAGCCTGAAAAAGGAAGGAAATTTGGACCCATTCTACAACATGGATGAACCTTGAAGACATGCTAAGTGAAATAAGCAAGTCACAAAAAGATAAATACTGTATGATTCCACTCATATGAAGTGCACAGAGCCGTCAAATTCATAGAAATAGAAAGCAGAATGGAAATTGCCAGGACCTGGGGGAAGCCAGGACTGGAGAGTTATTGTTTAATGGATGCAGCGTTTCAGTTTCGCAAGATGAAAAGAGTTCTGGAGATGATGGTGATGGTTGACAGTGATGTTAATGTTCACTTAAAAATGGTGAAGAAGTGGCCGGGCACGGTGACTCAAGCCTGTAATCCCAGCACTTTGTGAGGCCGAGGTGAGTGAATCACAAGGTCAGGGGATCGAGACCATCCTGGCCAACATGGTGAAACCCCGCCTCTACTAAAAAAAAAAAAAAAAAAAAAAAAAAAAAAAAAAAAAATTAGCCGGGCGTGGTAGTGCACGCTTATAGTCCCAGCTACTCCGAGAGGCTATCGAGGGAATCACCTGAACCTGGGAGGCGGAGGTTGTGGTGAGTGGAGATCATACCATTGCACTCCAGCCTGGTGACACAGCGAGACTCCGTCTCAAAAAAAAAAAAAAAGGTGAAGAAGAAAAGAAGAAGGAAGAGGAGGAGGAGAAAGGAGGGAGGAAGGGAGGAAGGAAGGAGGGAGAAAAGAAAAGAAAGATCAACACACTACTTGTCAAGTTTGGGTATCACATCAAAGAAAAATATACACGATTGGCCGGGCGCGGTGGCTCACACCTGTAATCCCAGCACTTTGGGAGGCCGAGACGGGCGGATACGAGGTCAGGAGATAGAGACCATCCTGGCTAACACGGTGAAACCCCGTCTCTACTAAAAATACAAAAAATTAGCCGGGCGAGGTGGCAGGGGCCTGTAATCCCAGCTACTTGGGAGGCTGAGGCAGGAGAATGGCGTGAACCCGGGAGGCGGAGCTTGCAGTGAGCCGAGATCGCGCCACTGCACTCCAGCCTGGGCGACAGAGTGAGACTCCGTCTCAAAAAAAACAAAAAAAAGAAAAATATACACGATTATCTAAAAGGCTATTAAAATACTCTTCCTCTTTCCAACCATATATTTTTGTGAGGCCAGATTCTCTTCATATACTTCCACCAAACAAAATATTACAACAAATTACATGCAGAATCAGATATAAAAATTCAGCTGTCTTCTATCTACCAAGCCAGACACAAAACAGATTTGCAAAAAGTTAAAGCAATGCCACTCTTCCTGATATATAGTCTTTTCTTTGAGAAAATATAATTATTTTCCATAATATGTTCCTATGTTAATATATAGTGGTTTTATTATTTTTAAATGGATTAATAATAATTTTTAACATGATTCTCAGTTCTAACGTCTAAAATATGATTAATATCAGTAGATATAGCCCACATAAACAACAGCACTTGGTGGGTTTCGTACTTTTTAAGAGTGAAAAGTGTCCTGAGACCAAAAAGAATCTCTGATTTGGTACATAGTAAACCCTCAATAAACATTTGTTAAATGACTTTCCTCTTTCCCCTTCCTCACTGGGAGTGTACCCTACAGGATAGGAAGTCACAACTTCTCAGTCTCCATGCTAATCAATGTATGACGTTTCTCAAAAAATCTGCAGGAGATTTGTCTCACGCCCTGGGTACCCTCCCAGCAGCACGTGCTGGGAATCTTGCACTGTCCTGTTTGTCAAAAGCACAGATCCTACTCTCTTAATAACCATTTGCCAAAAGTGTTGTCAAACAACTAACTGCACATAATTGAGCTTCTGAAAGAATATGCCCTCTGGTGAGTTTAAAAGAAATGTTACAAATTAAGATAGTAGATGATTATGTGAGACATACATCAAAATTGTCAGAAGGCTGCTATCTCAAAAATTACGAACTTGGCAAACGGATATATGTGGTTCCATGACTGTCCACTGAGCTTTCTCTCTTGATTATTTTATCCAGGCATTTGCTGCCTCAGAAGTTGTTGTAATTCATATTGCCTTTCATCATAAGCCTGGATTTGTACAAAGGAGTGATTAATTTTAAAAAAAAAAATCTCATTACTTGAGATACATTCCTGAAGTTTGTAACAAAAACCACCAAAACAGATGGAAGGGCTGGAGACCCAGCTGCCGGAGGAACTGTATTCCTGTCTCTTTTGATCAATGAAATTGATGGGATGATCATTAGTGGGGGAGTAAATAATAAGGACTCTCCTGGCTGAATCTTGGATATCTCTGTGAGTGCAATGCTGAGCTTTCCTAGCAATGTAGGACACCAACTCACCTTTTGCAGCCCACATTCTTGATGCTCTGCTCATGGGCCAGAATAGCTTCTGCCAATCTGCACCCCGGCTCTTCTCCTTTGGGTTCTGTCTGACCACTGGAGGCCACTCAGGCAAAGTGGGGACAAGCCTGGGAGGTAATGCCTCTTGGGAAAATCCCTCCACCAATAGCTTGCAACAGCTGAGAGATGAATGACTCAGCTCCCTTTCCCCTTGGATGGCATAATTCTGGAATTTGCTCTACACTCTCTCTGGGGGTTCCCCAGAGATACTGAGCCTAGTTGGTCACAGGGGCCATCTGCTCAATAATGCATATTTGATTGGCTTCCTTCGACATTTCAATTTCCTACTTCCCTTCTGGTGTTTCCCAGGATAGCCTCCCAAATAAACTGTTTATGCTAAAATCTTTGTCTCAGGGACTGCTTCTGGAAAACCCAAGCTGCGACTTGATTTTACATGTCAAACGTCGAACCTTCAATTACCCTTTTTAAAGATTTTGTCGGCTCCCTGAGAGCAGTGAGTGTGTTCTTACAAACTGAGGATCCTGCTCCCAGCACCCTCTGCACTTTCTCTCTGGGGGAACCCAACTCTTCCTATAACATAGTATAGCCTGACAAGAAGCAATAAAGCTCTTTTTTTTTTTTTTTCCTCAATATCAGGGCACTGCCTTTGCAGAGGGTCCGCATTTTCACTGTCCCTCGACTACCTGCCAGCTGCATTCCATTTTCAGCACCTATAGGGTCCCCAGGCAGAAGCCAAGGAAGAATAGTTCTCACCAGGGTGAAAGAGGAGAAAACGCAGCTGGGCCAGGCTGCAGGCAGCTGCCTCCACGCCAGCAGCCCCCCGCCTGGCTGGGTGGTCACATTCCTGCCCTGCTTCTCCACACGGCCACTCTCCTGGTCACCGAGTATTTGCATGGGCTTTGCCCCCAGTTATCTCTGTCCCTTGATCTCCGTTTGCTTTTCCGGCCTCTGACCCCTCTGTTGGCCAAAACTTCAAGTGTTATCATGCTCTTTTGTCCTAGTCACTCCTCTGTCCTGGCAGCCTCAACTGACCGTCAACAGCACAGGCACAGAGTGGGAGGGGGTGAGGGAGAGAATTTCATTTGGTCCATTGAGTGGTTAAAAGAAAAAAGGTTGCTTTTATTATTTTGTTTCTTTCTTTTTAAGCAAGTAACTTGTTTAACTTGCATTGACCAACCATTTGACCTAATCGACTCTTCAGTTCCAATGGTCAGGCTGATAGAAGTAGGTAAATAGATGAGAAAGAGCCCAGCAGTTCAAGGCCTCCTGGCTTTCCCTCCTACTTCCGATCTGAAAGTAAGAGAAACTGCAATGAAAAAACCAAGTTTCTAAGCTCGTGGAAGGGAGGGCGGCCTGGCACTGTTTACTTCATGAGAGAGTCGTGGTTGAGAAAACAGAAATTCTCATGCCGATTGAAGTTTTAAAAACGTTCTGTAGAAAACAAAAACATTCTAACATTTTCATTTAGAAAACAAAAGTAAATTCCTCCCTAAGGCATCCATGCTTTGGTTCGTAGATTAGGCCTTCAAAAATTACCTCATCAAGAATATAAACACGTCATTCTGAACGAAATGATGCCAATTCAAATTCCTGGTTAAAAACATTAGCTAGGCATGATGGCTTATGCTGGTAGTCAGGAGAGTGAGGCAGGAAATCCTGAGCCCAGCAGTTCGAGACTATAGCAAACTACAATGGTACCTGTGAATAGCACTCCATAGACAGTGGCAACATAGAGAGACGTCATCCCTAAAAAATAACATAAAATAATAACAAAGAAAAGCCTACCTACACTAAGAGTGAAAGGCAAAAAATGAGGGCATGGTTAGCATTTCATTGATTCCCCCTGACACACACACACACACATACATGTACACATATGTACATGCTTTCCGTGTATACTCACAAACAAGGTTCATATTGTCAGTGATCTATAAAAAAATGAGGGACTTGCCAAAAAGAAAAGAAACAGAAAATACTTGACAATTAGAATATTTTGACTGGGTACGGGGAGCCACGCCTGTAATCCCAGCACTTTGGGAGGCTGAGGTGGGATCACCTGAGGTCAGGAGTTCGAGACCAGCCTGGCCAACATAGTGAAACCCTGTCTCTACTAAAACTACAAAAATTAGCCGGGCATGCTGGTAATCCCAACTACTTGGGAGGCTGAGACAAGAGAATCACTTGAGCCTGGGAGGCAGAGGTTGCAGTGAGCAGAGATCGAGCCACTGTACTCCAGCCTGAGCAACAGAACAAGACTCTGTCTCAAAAAAAAAAGCAAAAAACAAAAAAAAAAAACAAAAAACAAAGAAAGAAAAGAAAAAGAGAAAAAAATGGAAGACATGGCTAGCATTTCATTGATCCCCCCAACACACACACATATATGTACACATACGTACCTACTCCCCATATATACTCACAAACAAGGTCCACATGTCAGTGACCAAAAAAAAAAAAAAAAAAAAAAAATTCCGGGACTTGTCAAAAAGAAAAGAAAGAGAAAATACTTGAAAATTATAATATCTTGGCTGGGCACGGTGGCTCACGCCTATAATCCCAGTACTTTGGAAAGCCGAAGTGGGTGGATCACCTCAGGTCGGGAGTTTGAGACCAGCCTGGCCAACATGGAGAAATCCCGTCTCCACTAAAAATTATACAAAAATTAGCTGGGTGTGGTGGCACATGCCTCTAATCCCAGCTGTCAGGAGGCTGAGACAGGAGAATCACTTGAACCCGGGAGGCGGAGGTTGCAGTGAGTTGAGATCATGCCACTGCGTTCCAGCCTGGGCGGCAGAGTGAAACTCTGTCTCAAAAAAAAAAAAGAAAAAGAAAATTATAGTATCTTTTAGTTACATCTATATAAAAACATTGGCATTCTATCTGATGGGATAGGGCTCAGGCAATATTTTTCATTCTCTCTTTTCCCAATAATGAAAATAAAAGCATTTAAAAACCCTGAACATAAAACCAGACTGATTGTTTTAACCAAAAGATTAATCAATAGAACCCAAATGTTCGAGTAATTTTTAAAAAAATTTGTATCCTTACTTCATTTTTTCTGAAAAGTAATTTGATAACACTTATTAAAACCCTTAAAAATTTTATTCTGTTTGACCTAGAAATTAGAATTTTATAAATCTATACCAAAAAATTTTCCAAAATTCAGACCCAGGTTTATGCTCAAGATATCCACTGAAGTACTGATTAAAATTACATGAACCTGGAAGCAATTTACATTTTAATAATAGAATTGGACATAAAAGCAAATTATAGTATGTTCATGCTATAGAGTATACCACATTCTATATTTGCTCATCAAAAGTATCATAAAAATTATAATCCTTTAAAAATAATATCAGGCCGGGCGCGGTGGCTCAAGCCTATAATCCCAGCACTTTGGGAGGCCGAGACGGGCGGATCACGAGGTCAGGAGATCGAGACCATCCTGGTTAACACGGTGAAACCCCGTCTCTACTAAAAAATACAAAAAACTAGCCGGGCGAGGTGGCGGGCGCCTGTAGTCCCAGCTACTCGGGAGGCTGAGGCAGGAGAATGGCGTGAACCTGGGAGGCGGAGCTTGCAGTGAGCTGAGATCCGGCCACTGCACTCCAGCCTGGGTGACAGCGTGAGACTCCGTCTCAAAAAAAATAAAAAATAAAAAATAAAAAAAATAATAATAATATCAACTAAAAATAAGATGTAAACCTGTATGTTTGGTGTAATTTTGACTATAAGAAGTATATATACATATGCATGTATGTGTACACAAATACATACATGTTTCTGACATTTACAGGAGGTATATATGTGTGTGTGTGTATGATTTTGCAAGAGACAGATTATTATTCTTACATTTAGTAAATACATATTATTTCTAAATGCATCCATGCATAAACCACTCCATCATACCTGCTCAGTCATTTCAATCAGAACAACCCAGCCATGCTCTCAGGCTGCTAGGACCTCCCGAAGGTTCTAGAATGAGATTGTCACCTGGTACTCTACATTCTTGGATAATCAGGATGAGCACAAAAATTTATGGGAATTAATCACAACACCAATTTGTGAATCATACAAATTAAGACTTCATTTATTTTGAGTTAGAAATAATCTCAATCTCCAGACTTGGTCAGACTCCCCTTAATGCACATACCTTGGCTATCTCCCGTATGGCATTTATCACAATAAGACACTCACATGCGCTTCTTTGTTTAGAGCCTGTCTTCCCTCATGCATGAGAGCAGAGGTGGTATCTCTTTTGTGCCTCTCTCTATCCCTAGCATCAGCACCACATATGGGATAGCAGATGCCAGCACTGCCCAGCTCTGTGTCATCATGCCCCACCTTTGGGTTGACCTGCGGGGAAGGAGGACAGGTGCCAGCAAACCGATGGCGTCCTACCTCAAGTCTCTGCTTCTTTCTATTTAGGAGTTTGCTAGAGATATGCAGACACATCAATGTCTCCAGGGGTTCATCTCAACCAATGAGGGGCAGGAGGAAACGCCCAACCCCACCCCTATCCTCTTCATGGACCATTCTCAGACGCTCCACATGTTTTCTCAGAGTGTCCACAGCAGGATGGAGCCCTCCTCCTTAACATGACCTTCATGGGCTCTCTGCCTTTCCTTGCCTCACTTTTCTCCTCTCTCATTCCTGCATCCTGGGGTGATCTCACAAATAAACTACCTGAACCCCCATTCCTTTCCTCAGACTCCTCTTAGAGGTAAGCCCCACTGAGACCTGTGGTTCCTAGTAGGTTTTTGATCAATATCCTTTGAACAGGTGGATGAGTGACTAAATTCTCACTGTGCCTCGTCTGGGGCTAACAGCGTGTAGTGAACCCTCTTCTCATAAATAGTATGAAATTATTGCAATAAAGAAGTCTATGAGAGGAATCAATAAAACCAAATTTGATGGCAAACTTACGTCTTCTGATCTTTATAAAACAATTAGGTGCTATTAACAAGTTGTTTGCATGGCTAAATAAAGCAGGTCTCTGAAAATCTATGCCTTTGTATCATGGCCATATTTTTCAGTTAAAGGAAACCCTCATTGCATCCGGGGAGAAAGCTACCATTTTTGAAGGGGTCCAGTAGTCATAGACTCCCTCATTTCTGAGAAAATAAAGGTCATGGATTAAACTAAATTTAGGGTAGAAACCAAATAGTTCATTTTTTACTAGTTACACATCATTAGGAAAATATTCTCAGCTTCACTGTTCATGAGCCTCCTCGATTTTCCTGATGGCTCCTTTCAACATCTGGGAACAGCTGGACGAGCTCGCTGTGCTGCCGTCAGTCCTTGTATGGCCCAGTGTAAACAATCATCAGGACACTGATTAATTTCTCAAGACTTTAAAATAATTAAGGTAACAATCATCCCTCACCCACACACTCCCCCATTTTTACAACCATTTAGCGGGGAGGTGGCAGAGGGCAACCATAACATTCAGCCTAGAGTTCCCATTACTGCCGTGTAGCTTGTAATAACGTGCACTCTTGACGGTCATCAGGGGAAAAGGTCCTCTGGCCTCCTGCACCTCTAAGGGAGGAGTAAAACCGTTAGCCCCATGTAAACCCTGGAGAGTCGCTCACCCCAATCAGTGTGAGGCACTTCTGCCTCTACTTTCTGAATTGGGAGAGGTCAGTATGACTGTGAGTTTCTCCTTAGGGGGAGAATTTACAGTGTGAACCCGTACAAAAGAATATTTAAGAGTGCACACCCAAAAGAATTGAAAGCAAGGTCCCAGATAATGACTTGGCCATGTTCATAGCAGCAATATGCACAGTAGCCAAAGGGGGAAGCACTGCAGATGTCCATCAATGAATGAACGAATAAACAGAACATGGCATATGCATGGAGGGAATGTTTACCAGCTTTACAAAGG